TCCGCTGGAGAGGGCCCCTGCTGCTGAGATGCCAGCCACCCCGGGTGGAACTGGGACAGGGAGGGACTGGGACTGGGACTGGGACTGGGACTGGGACTGGGACTGGGAGTGTGAGTGAGTGAGTGAGTGAGTGTGTGTGTGTGTACGTACATGGAGGTGTGCATGCACATGGGGGTATGCATGTGCGTGTGCATGCATATGGGGGGTGCATGTCTGTGTGCACATGGGGGTGTGCGCTGGGGGTTACAGCACCTGGCAGATGGGCATTGTTTCACACGAGGGTCTTCCCCATGTGGCCGGGCTTTGAGGTGCCCGGAGCCGGGGCCCCGGCCCTGCGACATAGCGGGTGTTGGGGGGTGGAGGGGAGTCTTGTTTGGCGCCGGGGAGCCCGCCTGCCCGCCCACCCGCCCACACTGCCGGCCCCCTCTAATGAGAGCGTGCGGGGATGGGGCAGTAATGGGGGCACCAGCACCTTCTCAGTCTTGGGGATGATCGTGTGACGTCCCCGGAGCTTTCTGTGAAACGTGCGTGGGAGAAACTGGGGGGTAATGGTTTGTGTCTGAAAGCGGGGGCACGAGGCACTGGTGGTGAGGACGGCTCTTTGTCGCCCCAACTCGATTTAACCATTCAGTTGTGTTTTCATTCAGCTGCAAAGGATCTGCGGCAAACGTCGCTCCGAACCAGCCTCTGCCCCTTCAGTTCCTTTCTGGTTGAACCCAGTTCATGAGCGTGGCTTGTTGTACAATTTGTTTCTATCTTCTCTCTGCAAACTTTGCCCGGTCTTTCGTAACCCGTGTGTCATAAACCTCCGTAATTATTATAACTCCTTTTCATGCTTGGCGCTTGGTGTGTAACGGGCAGTCTTTGACTTGCCGCATGGCAGACTTTTTATCTTGCACTTTTAAAAAAAAAAAATCTTATTCAGTGAGTTGATGTCCCTTTTGGTTCATAGCGAGTATTAAACTGAATGGAGCGTCCTCAGAACATTTCATGGTTGTGGGGTAAAACTGTGTACGTTGCAGACCTGTTGCCTGAGACTAAAGCCAGATCCTGCGATGTGTGTACGCACTTGTAGTTTTAGTGATATTGAGGCCCGTCAGTAACCTAGAAAGTGCAGTGCAACATAGTAATAGTATAAAAATGGATAGATGTCCTTTTTAAGCATAATTATGACATGGCTGTAGTAGAAATGATATTTTAGACTTTCTTCCAACTAATTTTATTTCTTAGGCTTTTTAATCTGCCTCCTAATTTGGATTTCTTAGGATCTCTTCTGAGATACCGAATCTCTCTTTATGTGGGCAAACAGCATGTTGTGTGACTAGGCACTAAAGCTTTAGTTGGAAAGTTGGATACATAAAGAAACATTTCTTTGCGTTATATGAGAAGCAAGGGTTTTTTTTTAGTAACACCTTTTATTATACCAACTGAACAGTTTACTAAGTACCCTTCTTTACTACTAGGAAAGACACCCCGATAGCCTGTGCTAGACAGGAGATAAAACATTAACTTCAGCATGTCCGTGAAAACAGCCGCTTAAAGAAGTGGTGAGAGGTCATAAGCTGGGGGTGGAGGTGGAAGAGGTTTGCAAAAGCCAGAGTAAAGAAGGTATCAGAAATACCTAGAAAACCAGTGACGGACAATTGAACTACATAACCTAATTTTGGAAAAGAAAATCGTTCAAAAGGAAAGAGACAGAGAGCAGGTAAATTGTAATAAGCCTTTTTTATTTATTTATTTATTTATTTATTTATTGCTTAGTCCATAATTTTTAGGGGTCAGAACAGCTTAGAATTTTTGTTCCCAGACCTGTTTTCTAAAGGTATTTTGTAGATTCCCTCTAGTACAAGGACTGAGGAAACCACAATAGAGGGATTGTTCTTTGGGAACTGTTCTCTCCTGTTGACTAGGTGTTTCCATCCTTTACCACGTTTCTGTAGGAGTTCATTCTAAAGTATAATGGTGGCAATAGCCCCTACAGTATTACCAACAGAAACCCCTTGTTTCTTGCATATTTCCTGGACCATGAACACTTGTGGCAAATGCAATCACCTGGTGGTCTTGACTGGATTCTGTCTACTTCCAATGACACCATAAGCCTTTTTTTTTTTTTTTTTTTTTAACAAAAAGACACAATGGATTTGAACTAGAGGATCTAATGGAAGTGTGGGAAAATGTACATATCCATACTCAATGTGTTTTTAAAAAGTTAAGCACATTTCAAAAAACTATGCCTTGCTGCAAAAGAATTCTGAAGTGTATTTTTATGAACATTTTCTTTCTGTATACTCCACTTCTTACACATGCTGAGTAAATGTATAAATTACTTAAATACATAGCACAACACTAACACTGATCTGTTTTGTTTTTTTTTCCTTTTGCTTACAAACACCGTTTCTCTGTATATCAGCTGAGTGAATCAGATGCCTACGTAAATAGGAATGCTTTGCTTCCACTGTCTACTTGGTAAAGTACTTGTCCCCCTCTAACCTTAATTCCTGAGACTGACTAATGCTGTCAGTGGCCAGGCTTCTAACGCAGCTCGAAACTGCCTCGCTTCTCCTGGCTTCAGAGAGGTTGAGGCTGCTGACATACATTCCCTTAAAAGGACAATGGGATCTGATCCCCAATCCCAACAGTTACGCCTCCTGCAGAGGGATGAATTTGGGATTGGGGATCATATCCCAATCACACCCTACTTGCCAGTGCAGGGGGAGTCCAGGATCCTGAGCCCAGGCTCCCCCTGCATTGCAAGGGTGCCTGGCTGGCTTTGGGGCCCAATTTGAGCCTTGCTGCAATCCCTGGAGCAGTTGACAATCAGATAATTCTCAGATGGATTAAAGCCATACCAGGCTTGAACCTTAGTGTGATCCCTGCCAGCCAACTATCGGCTGATGGTTGGCAGTATCAGGGCTGCACCAAGCAGCCCCAGTCCTGATCCTGCTACTGAGCAGCTGATTGTCAGCAGCATTAGGGCTGTACTCGGGTTTGAACCCTGGTGCCATCCTAGAACCAGCAGACAATCAGCTGGCCCAGAGGGACCATATGGAGCTAGTTGGAGACCCTGGTGCAGTCCACTCAGCCACATGTTCATTTTAAGACATCATGAAAACCAGCCACAAAGTTGTTATGCTTTTACTGTGTACTAATTTTGTGGCTGTTTTTTTTTTGTGCCATTACCCTTCTGAACATGTAGCCAGTTTACACTTTTAATAATTAACTGGTTGAATGCATCTTAAGTGTAACATTTGCCAAGGGCCAAAGATAGGCATATGGTGCTCTGAGAAACAGGAGTCTTAAAGGGCCATGAGAAATTTAGAGCAGGCAGTTTCTGTACCGAGTTAGCATTGTTCACCTTGATTCCCAGAGGTGCAAAGTCCCAGTAAGTCCATGCCCTTTTTCAAGACTGAGGCTAAATATATAAACAAAGTAATAGTTTTAAGCTTTTGTAATAATTTCACAATATTTAGAGAAATCCATTCATGGACGCTTACCACTTTCTTTTGTTGTATGACACTTAAATACACATGGTGCTTTCTGAATGTGCAGTGTCACTGTTGGTATGTGCTCAGTGCAGTTTTCCGTGAGCATGTCATGTGATCTGCCCTTCCCCACTTCATGTTGTTGGTGGGGGGTGGGTGTTGGTGGTTTCATGTCATAACTGCCACACTTTTCCACACTGTGCTTTTTGGAACTTGTAGGAAGTCTTGTGATCTATCCCAGGTTCCCTTGCAGTGTGCTTAGTGGAGTCCTCCTAGGGCTGTGAGAGCATTTCTTTCTTCTGCTGCTGGTGCCAAAGAAGTTATTGTAGCTGCCAACACACACAGCTTTACTGACCTAGCACACCCCTCAGTTCCGTGTGCGGCAGTGGAGGAGCTCTGCATGACTGCAACCCAAGTATTCATGTTGTAGGATAGCTGTGTGGAGCCTGTATCACAGTTTCTGGGATTCACCAAGCCTGGAGGATGCATGTAATCAAGCAAAACAAATATGATAGGATGTGTGCTGCCATTGCTGACCTTAGCCCAAGTCTGCAGCATGTCTAAAGCGGGAGAAACTATGTCATGACATCCCTTAATTTTGCAGACAAGTTACCAAGAGTGGCTCTAGAACTCCTGCCTGACAAAGCAGACCTCCTAGGACCTGCATGAGGGGTTTTCCCCAGCTCTTCTGTAGCAGAGTACAATTGAGAGACCCCTCAGTAGGGATAACCATCCACTTTTCCACCATCTGGAAATTAGCTATCCCAGATTGCCACAAATTCATGGCACACCAGTTTGGTCTGCCAATTCTTGATGTGGCAGAAGAGGTTTGCAGTGATATTCTGAAAGTTGTTTACCTGCAGATCATTTAGATCAGTGATTCTCAACCAGGGTCCCGTAGGGCTACACAATGCTTACACTGCTGGGTATGCAAACATTTCACAAGATAAACCCAGAGATTTTAAGTTGTTTTCAATACTGTGGATTCCTGTCTGACCTGTTGTGGTCTTCCTGAATTGTTTGCAACAGAAGAATTACTCAAGCATTTTTCTCTAGTCAAAAATGAGTATGAGTGAAAAGTAAGAGCCGGCACTTTCCCAGGGGTGTCTCTTGCCTATCAAGGGGTGCCTTGAGTCTAAGTAGACTGAATACCACTTCTTTAGGTACTGGTTATGGTCTACAAAGCGATAAGAGTGTTTTTGCTGGGAGTGGAGCCTGGACACAGATAGAATCCACAGCCAAATCCCAGAGCTAAAAAGCATTCAGATAACATATCCCCAAGCAAAGAGAGCTTGGGAAATTTGGACTGCCATGTGATCACATCCATGTGCCCTGAAGTGGTTCTGGTGAAGAATGCCTGCTGCCTCCTGTGTCATGTTGTACACTACCAACTTGTGACAGGGTTGTAATCATTTTCTGAACTATTGGAGTGAAGAAGCTGCTAATATGCATGCATAGCACATTCTGTCTTGGATGAACGTTACCATCACTGTGAGTAAAGCCGTGTGCCCTATTTACAAAGATACACAGAAGTTTAGGGCTGGAAGGGACCTCACATTGTGGTTTTGTTAGCCAACTATTTTAAAGTATTGGCATGTTGATTCAGGAGACTGTAAACATTGCTTAGACTTCTTTTATACTTCAGTGATATTTTCCTGCCAAGCCAGCCCTACCTATCTTTTTCATTAGACTTGGGTAGGGACAGTAATAATTACAACAAAGTGTTTTTATTAACCTCAAATGCCTGAACAGTTAGTGACCCCACTGATCACCAGCTAAATTAGCACTTTTAAAAAATATGCACAACACGAAGCCAAAGCAAAGAGCACGTTATGGGGGAGAGGAAAACAAAGTTCCAGAAGACCATGTCACTAGCATCCATGATAGTGATATCTGCCACTCTGTTATCTTTTTCCTTCTAACTGCCTCTTGTAGAGATTTGTTTCAGCACTGGTATGATAAATGGTAGACCTGTGTGAAGGCCTGGCTGTGCCCCCTGGGTGTTGTACTCTGCATGTGTGCTCATCTTGTTTGATGTGATCCTCGCAGACTGGAGTACACAGACTGCAGGCCTGGTTTGGTGGTGAAAGCTCAGCAGGTTAGTACTGTGCCTTACAGGCCGTTAACATTCTGTTCTGACATTGTTCCTGTTTTTGTATCCCTGTGACAAGGGGGTAAGCATAAAACCACCCCCACAAGCTATTACAATATTCCAAGTTTCCTAGTTCTTTTATACCAGTGTGGGCAATTATTTCAGCTGACGGGCCACTGTAACAAATTTTGGTGAGCTATCAAGGGCATGCACAAAATCTTTTGAAAGATATCATTTTAACAAATTATAGGAAAAAAATTCTATACTAAAAATCAAACATCAACTGTAACATTTTAATTAAAAAAAAAACTTTTGTCCTGATCTATATGTTTTTTGAGTAGTGTATATAGAAGCAACTGCATAATAGCTCAAAATGAAGCCTTACTCTTATATATTGTGTGGAGGCGGGGCGAGGAAGGAGGACTTATCAGGTCTTTGGAGCTGGCCAGGGGTGGGGGGGAAGGAGGAGGGCAAGGGGTGCGTGCAGCAGAGCTTGCCTGGGTGGTGTGGTGCAGGTGTGGTCTGCCATCCAGCCTGCACCCTACCCACTCCCTCCCAGGGAAGCCTGCACTGTGCTTCTGCTCACCCCCACTGACAGACTGACAGCCCTGACCCCAGCCAGCGCTCACTGCTTCCTGGTGGGGCTGCTCCCATTGCAGCTGCAGCGGCCCAGGTACTGCTCAGCTCCCCTGCCTCCAGTGGCTGCTCCTCCTAATGTGCCACTCCGGGCACCAGGTGGCATAGGGACATGAGGTGTCCATGGAGACGTGCACTGGGCACCACATGCCCAGCCAGGCAGAGGGGAAGCTGCAGGCATGGACCTTCAGCTCCAGGCTGCCTTCCACCTACTATATCTGCCCACATGCTCATCACATCAGATGGCCGAGTGGGGTGGAAGGTGGCTGCGAGCAGGAGCCCTGTGCGCTGGGGCAGAAACCACCCAGCTGCAGCTCTCTTCTCACCTGGCTGAGCGTGTGGTGCCTAGCACCCATCCCGACAGCTGCCATCACTTCCCCACGCTACCTGGGAGTGGTGCAGGAGGAGGAGCTGCTGCAAGTAGGAGTAGCTGAGCAGTACCCAGGCTGCTGCAGCCACAGCAGGAGCAGCCCCACCAGGAAGCTGTGCACACTGGCTGGGGCAGGGGCCATTGGCGAGTGAGGGCAGGAGTGTGGCATGGGATGCCCTAGGTGGGAGTAGGCAGGGTTCAGCCCCGTGCAGAGCTCTGCAGGTGCAGCCGTGGACTGAATACGATCAGTTGGTGGGCACCCACGTGCGGACCGTATCCAATCAGTTGGCAGGCCGGATCCAGCCTGCTGGCTGTATTTTGCCCACCCCTCTTTTATACATTGTTAAGTGTATTACATCTGTACCTGTTGTACATCCTGCTTTGTATTATCATTCTATCCTTTTTACTCTTTCTTGGCAGTATGGTGCATCTTGCACCATTTATCATTTACAGGCCCTCTCAGAGGTCGAGAGAAGCCTGGGCCACTTCCATTTTTTGAGACTCAAAATACAATGCAATAATTTGTAATAAATGTTCCTTTTTTTATTTAACAAGTGCTTTTCTAGCTTTTTTACTTCTTCTTTCAATCCTGTCAATGTATCTCTGTGTCTGTATGTATAACCTCATTTGGAGATAACGTTAAAAGTCTAAATTTGAGGCCTGGGCCAGATGGCCCTCCTGGCCCCCCTGGGATAGGCCCTGATCATTTATATTGTGTTGAGCCATCCTGTACCTACCCTTAAGCACAACCTAACGTGAATGCATATTCCAGCTTAAGCTTTTAAACATTTTGTGCATCAGTCACAGCTGTCATGAGGTCCATGGTGGTCAACATCTCAGCAAAGCCTGAGAGTATACATACTAATCATAATCAATGGTACTAGCCAGTGCTAAAGTGAGGCCTATGGTGGCTGTTGCCAGGCTCTGTGCCAAAGTCTAGAGACTCTTGCATGTGCAGATGTTTGCCTCTGCCCTGCTTCTCCGTGGGTAGATCCTTGTTGCAGCTTGTGGATCTCCCAGAACCTCTACGTTGCTGCTGCTTGTGCATAAGCTGCACTTTTGCTTCTTCCTCCTGTGCCTGCTCCTCCCTCTTCCAGCAGGTCATAGAATCTGGAACTTCAATGCACTTCAGCCATGATATCTTCCCTGATGCACTTCTTTCTCGCCCTCAGGCTTGAGACGGGGTAGAGGGGATGTCAACTCATAATACTGCTAGGAGAGACACCGACCAGTTGGCTTAACATTAAAAATAGAAGTCTCTCATTACTTCTGCACTCCAAGGCTGCAGTTTACAACTGTCCTAGTTCTTGAGATGTCACCCCCCAATTTTTTTGAGATGAGCAGACCAGAAGCAGCAATAGAAAATCAAGGCAATAGAAAATCATGTTGTTGTAAGGCTGTTGTTTCTGCAATGGTCTTAAGTTTCTAAAGGCCAACAATTTGTCTATGGTGACTGGGGAGAAGCGGCATATGAAGAGGATGTTTTTTCCAGTTGGAGTTCCTCATCCTTATCTGTGATGAGGAAACTCATCAAGGGCACAAATGTTTGGAGGTAATATTCCCAGCAAAAGAAACCAAATATTGCACAGTCTAATTCATAATCTCATTAATATGGAACTCATTACATTTGAACCCGTAGACACTTTGGCTATTGGGGACTGTAAAAAAATGACAGGAAAAAATAAAAATCTCTTCAAACAAGTCCCAAGAGTTGTGCAATGGTGTTGCTTAGCACTTCTAACTGACTTGAGACCTTTACCCCCCTGCATCGTGACTCTGAGTTCATGGCAGAGGGTGGGAGGTGGCGGGAGATGGGTAGAGACCTGCTGTGTTAATCCCTCCCATTGCTTTTACCTTAAACAGAAGCAGATTACATTTCAAGCGAGACTCCTACCTGTGTTATGCATCCTGGCCACCCACCAGGAAATCCTTGCTTCTTTACACCAAAACTTCAAACCCTAGTGCGGGTGGCAGGCAGCATTTGTGAGCCTGAGATTCTGGCTCTAGCATTCTGTTCTGTGGGGATATGTGGATTTGCTGTCAGAGGACCTTAAGAGTTTTAGGGCAACTACAAGAATGGCAGCCTAAGCAAGGTTGTTCTGGCATCTTCATGGTTCTGGAAACTGAAATGCTGTTTGCATCCCATAGTAACTCAGTGATCATCTCCTGTATGAAAGATCTCACTCCTGAGCACAATAATCCTAGAAGACAATAGGCCTGCTACTCGGAAAAATGACAAGTGTCTCACAGCAGTGACAAGTATCTAGTGCTACCCCACCCCTGGCTTTTGTACATGGCAGCTTTGTAGAGCTATCATGCACTTTATGCACTTGAGGCACCATTGGAAAGTCATGGTTATAATACTGCAGCAGCGATTACTCCTGGCTGTGCTAAGTACCCTGTGGGAGGCCACAAGGAAAAAAGGGTCGAGTGCACAATGAAGAGGTATTCAAGGAAGAGGAGGAGTATCAAGATATCACAGGATACAGACACGGGGCCCTGCATCCCAATGACATTCACTTGCCTTGCTTGTACCAGGGTGGACGTCAGTCAGCAAAATTGGGGTCAGAATTCTTCTCTACTATCTTTCCTGCCACGACTTTGATGGTTCGACTAAATTTGGGAGGATGGTGGTTTCCTTGACCCAAAGCTGACTGCCACCTATTCAGCTGGAAGGTGCAACCAGATTAAAAAAAAAAAGGAAAAGAAAAATAAAGAAAACTCCAAAATCCTGACAGCATCTTCTCTCTCTCCTTCTCTCTTCCTCTCTGCCCACAGTTTGGGATCTCTGGAGCTTCTCTCCTTCCCCATTTTTCTTCTGGGGCTCTCAATCGTGACTCCAACAATCAAGCAATTTTTCTTTTGCTCCCCACTAATTGCTATCCCGCAGGCTTAATTGAGCACCTGCCACAATCAATTAACGTGGAGCCAGGGTTTCCTCTCTGTCTCTCTCTCTCTCTCTTTTTGGTTTTATTTCTCTGAGCTCTGAAGACCCAATAGGTCTGTTGACCTGTTCCCAAGGACTTCAGCCCTGGCCAGCAGGTGGAGTTTCCCCTCACTGCCGACCCCTCTTCCTCTCCTTTACTTCTTTTCTTCTCGCCGGCACCTGGGGTTGGAAATGGCTCCCAGGGGCGTAATTAAACCAATTCAGTTCACCCGGCAGGCTGATAAGACTCCACTGGAGCGGATCAGGAGATCCCTCCAGAGCACAGCCGGGTTGCAACAGCCGAACGGTGGGGCCCTCCTCAAAGCAGGTACCCCAACCTTTCCACAAGGAGGAAGTAGACATCTGCAAGCATAGTCATGAGATTGCTTTCAAGGAACCATCTGAAAGCATCTTCTCTGCTCCAGGTCAGATGTACACAGATGAAAGTAGAAACTGACCTTTACATACTCAGAAGCTAAGGTGCAGCATCACCATGAGCTACAGCGACAGCACACAGGAGGCCTTACAGCTGAGGATGTTCAGCTGCTTGCTGGACTTGACTTGAAGTCAGCACAGGGATGAAATACTATGGAAGAAGCAACTCGATTTCTTAAAATGTTGTCGACACAAGGACTTTTAACCTCCCTAAAGGTACTCTCATTTAGGAGTAAAGTAGTTTTAGTTCACTATAGCAAGAATTAAGATACAGTTGTTCAAGGCCACACAATTCCTGAAAGCAAACATCCATGCAGGGGTTGAATCAGCTTATGTGCTTGAAATTCACACCTTTAGTTGATTCACCTTAATTTTCCCGAGCATCCCTGCTTGGGCATGGTTTCAGGCACAGCACTGGGAGAGGTATTGATCCAAAGGAAAGGAATTACCCTTTCTTAATGGTTATTGATGTGCGGGCCAGGAGAAATCCGGGCCCTTTTTCGTGCTGCACGCGGGCTGTGGCCAGCAGCCCGGGCACGCGGGGTCGGAGAGGACGGGCGACGAGCTGGAATTAGGCACAGACGCTTAGCGGTAGATTTAAAGATTGTTTACTTACACCGAAGATGGTCGCGGTGCAGGCAGGAAAACTTGCTTGAGTTGCGGTTACAGACAGGAAAGAAGAGAGGCAGACAAGAGTTCTAAACTCGTGAACTCTAGCCCAATCCGGCTGAAGGCTCTAAACACGCGAGTCCATCTTGTCAACCGAAGAAAGTACTCGTCCGAAAAGAGCTCTGAATCAACTCACACGAAGTTTGCTAGGCTCCGTGGTTGCTTCTGCTCACTCACCCACACGAAGTTTGCTAGGCTTCGTGGGTCCGGTTCTTTTGCGCGCAGGGAGGGATACGTCTAGGAATCTATCGGCGACGGGGAGAGGCTAGAGGCTGATCAGACCTCTGTAGCCTGCTTGAAATGCGCTGGGTTCAATAAGCTCTGCAGCGCTTAGAGATCTTCACACAGTGTGAAGTCTCCTCCTCCCGGTGTTCATGGAGTCCTCCAACTTGGGCAGAAACCACTCAAGCCTTTTATACGGCTAGCAAGCCAATCACTAGCCTCCACGTGTGAATAATTTAGAACTGGCCAATAGTGGGGCTCAAATTAGCATACAAATGGTGGGAACTCTTTGCAACGAGCATTTCTGTGCTGCAACAAAGAAATGCACCCTGCAAAGAAAGCTTCAAATTAGCGGGAAATTCTCCCTTGCACCGGGGTTCTCTTTTGCAGCAGAAAACTCCACCGTGCAAAGAAGCTGTAATTTAGCGGGAACAATTTAGCAGTGCGGAAGCACAAAAACAAAAATCACACCTTTTGGGTTGTGACAATTGATTCCAGCAATGCCTCGCAACACGTGAAAAGCTATACAAAACACATGGAGGCTTGATTTCTGCCCCAAGAGCTCACATGCTGAGAAAGAAACTAACCAGTGTAAGGAGAGATACTACAGATCCATGCTGGAATTAGCCATGTTATATCAATTCAGTGTTCAGTAACCACTTTGAGCAAACCCATTTTTGTTTGTTTGGCAAGGCAACATAAGGCTACCGTAGTTGGAATGTATTTCTGCCCTCTGATTGGGACTATACTGGAAAAAAATTCCAGTAAATTACTGTAAAGAAAGTTATTTCTTTCAGTAGATGTTACTATATCCTTCTGCTGTTTGTCCAGTATAAAATATGGAAAAAAGATCATAAGGACAGAAGTGACTGGATTGATCACAGGTAGTCTGATGCTTACATAGCCTTGCCTGAAGAATTTCATCTAGTAGCTCCCCTGACATCCACTCCAATGCTTTAAAGACATAAAGTAATGAAGAGCCTACCGCATCCATTAGCTAATTTAACATCCCTGTTAAAATTGCAACTTATTTCGGGCCTGGGTTTACATAATCTTAGAATGAAATATATAATTCAGAATAAATAATGTGTCAGTGTCTTATCTCTGTTATGCAGGGCAAAAAAGTGGACAGCCGGAAGTGGTCACCAAATATGGGCGACTCCTAGGAAAACAGATCAGCGTAGCTGGAGCCGACAGACTTGTGAATGTTTTCCTTGGAATTCCTTTTGCAAAACCACCTGTTGGACCTCTTAGGTTTTCCCCACCACAACCACCTGAACCATGGAGCAATCTGAGAAATTCAACTTCCTTCCCACCAATGTAAGATCCAGTTGCCTTCACTTTTGTATAGCTGCTCTGTTGGCTAAATTAGCCTAAACTTAGCCGTATACACCTTACTGAAAACATTGGGGTAGTTATGTTTTGTCCCATTAAGAACGTGAACTTCTAAAATTTCTGCCATTTCTCTTGTGAACTGAATGGTCTCATTCCTTACTAAAAATACCCTAACAGCTATATTTTCAGTAGTTAATATAAAGCTAGAGATCCAAGTCAGTGTTGGGTGTGAAATTAAAGGTACCACATTTTAGAAAAAGAAAATGACAATGGGACTTTACACTTATAATTTTCGATGTTCTCTCTGTTATCCTCTGAGAGAGGATCCTGGAAAATAAAACCTGATGAGCCAGTTTACTTGGGATCTAGCTGCCCAAATAGGATCTAACACGCAAATAATTTTAACTGTAATTCCCAAGGTGCTTTGTGTACACTGTAATAACTTTTCCCTGCACCTTTTTGGTGGTGATATCAGTATTACCTTGTGTAACAGGATGGCATGTTTCTGTGAAGAAATAGTCCTGTTGAGAAAGTCTACATATGGGGAATTTGGCTAAGCAGGAAGCATCCTGCTAGGAGTTACAAGCTCCTAGAGCAAGCAAGGGTAAAGAAAACAAGCTGTGAGCAGACCAGTTTGTTACAAGGAGGGGCCAGGCTGTTGTGTTGGGGCCAGAGGAGAAAGGCTCCCCCCCTAGTACCTGAGACAAGGAAGAAGGGGTTGGCTTTGTCTGATTGTTTGTTGCTTTGTTGCCATGTTTCATTTGGGAGGATTAGCTGAGGAACTTCTCGGGGAGCAAAACCCACCTGTGGAAGCCACCAGGCTAGGCAACTTGCTTACACCTTAGCACCCTGGCCTGGGACACTCTCGCACAACAACGTACAAACAAAAAAAAAAGGTGATCCTTGGTCCAGAGGCTTCAACCTATGTCTGAGACCAAAGGCAGTCAGGGGTTGGAGACAGATGTGAAGGTAGGAACAGACCATAACAAAGCACTGGCCAGAATAGCAGTTCACTGTCCTGGCACATCAGTGCCTCACCATTGTCAAGATTTTTGTGGGCACTTGTGGCAAAGGAGAACTTGAAGGTGGGATGTGACACAACTTCATAGATGTCAGTGAGAAACCCCTCGAGCGGGGGGGGGCAAAAGCGTGAAAGTGCTATTCACACGTTTTCCAGGAGGGTGCTAGAGGCTGGCATTACCGGCCGATCAGAGATAGGAGTCGACTTCTCTGTACACAATGAGAAATGACAGGTAGAGGGGGGATGGACCCAGATCGGTCTTGAAAGCAAAGTTCTGTGGTTTCTGTTTGATGTGATGGAGCAGAGGAAGATGGTGGAAAAAATGTAAGGAGAGGGGTGCCATGTTTACCCCTGATGTCCATGCTCAGTCCTGGTCAGGAAGACCCTTGTTGGTAGGGTAGTTATAAACTATTTTGCTTCAGTCTATATCACTGTCTAACAGTTGTAGCTTTTAGGAGCACCATTTGTCATGCAGTCCTATGTTATGCATTAGATGTCCACTTCCAATCTTTTGTACAGTTTCTAAAAATAAAAGGAAAATAACCCCTACAGGTCCAAAAACGTGTTGGACTGACTGGTAAGGTAGTTTCAACTCCGTGTTTCTTTAGCTATGCCCTGGTTTTCTTTTGGGCTGCAGCTAAAGTGTTGTGTCCCTCAATTTTTTTTGCCAGTAGGGAGTGGGGGGTAAATGTTTTTTCTATTTTTATCTGGACCAGTATTTCAGTTCTTGCTTCTTCAGCTCATCAAAGCTGGTATTACTGCATTTCAAAATAATTTTGTAGTATGAAAAAAAAATAGCAAGTTAAAATAGACTTATTTTAGATTATTCCATGAGTGTGTGAATCTTCAGAAACATTATCATCAGAAATCCATCTTTGTCAGGTAAAGCTTTGTCAGATGCTTTTCATTATTTGATGTTGGTATTGTTTGTATGTATGCAGGTGTCTACAAGACCTGGGGTGGATAGAAACATTGAAAATACTTGAAAAATTTGAAAATCCTACCACTGAAATTTCTGAAGATTGTTTGTACCTGGATGTCTACACTCCTGCCTCTTCAAACAAGAAAGCCAAGTTACCTGTAAGCAAAGCTTGACCTCTGTGCTATACTGTATTCTGTCACTGGATTGGAATAAGTTGGTCATAATGTCCTCTTAAGTCTTTCCTCCCTAATCTTAAAATAGGGCACTGGGGTTCTTTGGCTTCAGGTTACATAAAACAGTACTTGGCAACAACATGCATTGGTTGACATTGTGTTCCAGGTATCTAGGGTGTCCAGAAGGCAGCTGTCTGCTGACTCCAAGCTCTGGTGAGCTCATCGTTGTTCTCTTTAGAGCCTTTCATGAATAGGGACCTACTGAAATTGTAGTTGCACAATTTTTGCAGAAACTGCTGTTTTGGGCAGGCTTCATGAAAAAGCTTGGGCTCTGCGCTTTTGGCAGGCTTGCTGCAAAAAAAACAAAAACAAATTTACCAGCAAGCAGAGAAGCCCTGCAGTCTTGGAGCACATGGGGAAGCTGGAAGGGGGAAAGCTGGAGGGAGGGCAGGGGGGTGCTGCTCACGGTGGCGAGTGGGGTGATCAGCCCTGCAAGAGCTTGCCATCCCTTGGGGAGGGAGGAAAGGGGAAGAAGGCAGCAAGTCAGTCGTGACCTGTGAACTGCCAGCACTTAATAACTTTACCTGTCGCTCTGGGTTCACCATATCACATGTTCTGTATGTGGTCTGTGGCCCCAGGGAGGAGCTGCTTGCTTCACTCACTGCTATAAGCATCCTCCCTGTGCTCCAAGACTGCAGGGCTTCTCTGCTTGCCAGTAAGATTGCTTTTTTTGCAGTGAGCCACTGCTTGAGGATGGCCCAAAACTATGGTTTAATTACCCTGATTAAGCCCAGGAAAGCCATTAATCCAGGCTTAGTAACACATGGATTAATGACTTCCCCAGGCTTAATATCAGAGTAATTAAACCACAGTTTCAGGCTGTCTGGCCATCTGCAGGGAGAGGTGGGACTGACAGTCAGAGGTCTGGGGAGCCCCTGCCGTGTTCAGCCTGTGAAAATGGCCTCTGGCCCTGGGATCTGCCTGTAAAATTGGCCAGCCCCTGCCTTGTGTTCAGTAGACCCCTATTTATGAATGCTTTGCCTCTGCTTGGCAAGCAAAGCAAAGCCAAGCCATGTCTGGATGTGGATTCTGCCGATAGCAGCCTTAGCTTGTGTCGTTACTCGGGGTATGTCTCTAGCAAGTCCTGGGTGCTCTGGGTCATTATATGTTCCTGAGTGTGCCCATTCACTCCCCCTCACTCATCCAGGTCAGACCTAGTAGTGCCATGGGCAAGCCAGTGCCCCAGGCTGCTGCTCACAAGCACTCTGGGGGCAGATCTTAAGAGCAACTGTGTAGGACCTCCCCCCTCCCCGAGGGGCATTGCTGCTGTGTTTCTGAGTTTGGCATAGGTGGGTGGATGGGTGCTCAGGACCTGCTTGGCAGCTCCCTTCCTGAAAGCGCCACATGCATGTACCTGATTTCGCACCCCCACCTTTGTCAGAGTACTAGCTACAGTTTCCTGTAATGGCCCTATCTTAACTGTAGCACCAGCAGACCATAACAGAAATTGGTGGGCTTATCTTAACTCCTGGTCTCTGAGAAGGGTTGGCAGTGATCCAGGACATGGGAGATAGCATAGCTACACAGATGTGGAGATGTCTCATGAGCATGCAATGGGAGGTAGTGTTGGCTACAAATGTCCAACTTGGGATCCTTAAAATCCTAGTTTATTAGGTGGATTGAAACACTGTAATCATAAACCTCGGGGCTGGTCCCCACACATGCACACACATACACACACACAGTAGCAGGCTACAGAGTCAGGTATGCCTATCCTACAAGCGCTGGAGTCTGTCGTTGAGCCTTCTTTTAGCGTGGTGTTATCTTCCAGAAAGGGGTCGCCGGCTGGTCCTTCTGGCTGGACAGGTCTGGTCAAGTTGGAGATCAAGAGGGCGTCACTGAGGGTCACTTTTCACTGCCTTTTATCTGTCCTTGGCAGACTTTGGTGACTCCCCAGTTTTCAGGTTTGCCCAATCCAGGGGTCATTGACCCTCGTGGGACTTCCCCCCACCTCCCCTCGGTGGCTACTGGATGGCATCTGTCAGCCCCAGGGGTCGTCCGCATGTATGTGGAGGTTTGGGAGTCCGTTGATGAATTTAGAATAGGGCTCTGGGAGTGGTCGATCTGGAGATATTGAGCCCAAAAGTTGGTCCCCTGCATTGATTAACTCAGGCCAGGGCTTCTAGCCCTTGATCAGTGACGTTTAGAGATTTCCTGGTTGTTACATTGTCTTCTGTTGAGTTCTTCCCTTGGTTGATCTGCAGCTTCCCAGGTGTTAATTGCTGCCTGCTACCATGTTACACATTCAATCACTGATTCACTGGCTCTTTCAGGGGCCAGCCTGATACAAGGAAGGGCAGTTTGATTCCTGCCCTTGTTAACATTGTTACAATGTATAATTTACTTATGAAACTAAACACATTCAGTTGAAAGTTGAAAGGTGAGGAGTATAAAATATAAGCTACAAATGCCATGGCACACAAATAGATAAAAATACCAAAATACAAGGGGAGATACAAAATGCACACATACAAATTTTAAAACACAATTCCTTATCTTAAAGTGAAAGAGAGAGGAAGGAAGAAAAGGTAGAAAAAGAGAAACATATCCAAAGAGGAGAGAGCAAATGCAGGCAAGAGGAAAAGGGGGCTTTCTGCTACAGTAGTTGTAGGTGGCCCTATACAATGTAGGGCTGTCCCTATAGTGCTACTTTAAGCCCCCTCTAGTCCTGGGCCCCGCTTCAGCAATTTTGCATAGGAGAATAAATGGGCTGTAAGCTCAAATACCCCTGCAGTCTCTTGTACGTTCTTCCTGGTAACACCTGGGAATAGTTCATGTACTCCCAGGCCTGGACTCTTCCCCCTTCCTTATCCCTCTAACCCAAGCCATTTCCAAACCTTGCTGGCTGTCCTATATGTGGTGCCTCTGCAATTTACCATGGTCACCCCATTCATCCAATCTGTCTTCATTTATACCCTGATTATTGCAGCTCCCTTGTCCCCAGACATCCCTGTCACCCAGTCCAGACCAAACACGACTGTGAGGATCCCTTTCTTTGTGTCCTTCTTCATGCTGCCACTCCTCCTTGTGCTCTCTGGCCCTGGTTTCTGCTTTGCTTTATCAAGTTCAAACATCCAATCTTCACCAGGAAGACCCAGTTGAATTCTGCCCCCGCTTTCTTAACCAGCTCTTCTGCTTTCTACGCCCCCAGTATTTTTCTTTGCAAACAGTGCCAGTCTTGATATTTTTATTTGTCTGCATCTCCTAGAACCTTCTTCACAATTCCTCTGTCTCTGTCTTTTTGTGCATTGAGTATCTTTTCTGAGCTGAGCTTACCAAGGTATAAGGCAATTCCCTTCTCCTCCTGACCTAGTCCTTTACTACACCATGATGTGTACTTTGACTTGGGTAACCCTGTACTTCATTCCCTCAGCCTCCCCCTGCTGCTCCCCTACCTCACTTCATTGTGCCAGACCTGAAATCAGCTGTTTGGGACAGGGAGCTGTTTGGACTCTACGCCGAAGTGTTCACCACTTTCCTGCGTGCTGTACAGTAACATAAAACAGCCGTAGCATTCTTGCTGAGTCATGGAGGGGAATGCGTTTGTTTAGAAATGCAAAGTCCAAGGCTAGGTATAAATAATTGAATAACAGAAAAGCTGGAAATTACATGATAAGAAGCATGGTTAGTGTTGAATGGTCTCTGACCCACTTTAAATTCCAGTTGTATCACACTGGAGAGAGAAATGAAAGCTGAAGGATGGTTAGAGGTGTCTTATCAAGTTCATGGTGATAAAAGAAACTAGAAATGGACAGCATGAATGACTCCTAACAGTACCAGCCGCATGAACTTATTTTCACCTGCCATTTAAAAAGAGAATTTTAAAATAGAAAATGCAATATGCAGTTCTTTGTGTGCTTACATTTTATTACAAAATTACCAAATTTAGGATGGCAGGCAGTTTGACTGCCCTTCTTTTATTTCAGGTTATGGTGTGGATTCATGGAGGAGGTTTCACGCTAGGTGGAGCTTCAGCATATGATGGGTCAGCATTGACTGCCTATGAAAATGTGGTCGTGGTAATCATCCAGTATAGGCTGGGTATCCTTGGATTCTTGAGGTAAGACACTGTCACAAGCCCTGGTCAAGCTGCTATGTTTGGATCCTACATGCAGGATGTGTGCCTTTAAGCTTCCTTGAATTTAAGCACGCTTGCAGGGAGTAGAATCTGTTTCTGGTGCTCCTTTCTGCAATTTGAGACCTCGATAGTCTAGCTCAGAGCTTTCCAAACTTTTCATGTTGGTGACACACTTTTTAGACATGCATCATTTCGCGACACAGTAATTCAGTTCCGGGGGGGGGGCCAAGGGAAGCAGACGCGAGTAAGGGAGCTCCACGGTGCCCTTCCGCAAAATTTTCTGCGTTTCGCGCGACACACCTACACACTGCTGCCGACACACTAATGTGTCGCGGCACACAGTTTGGAAAGCTCTGGTCTAGCTGCTTGAACTCTGACACTAGGGTCAGCTCTCTCAGACTCCCCCGCCCTCCCTGGAGTCTGTCTTATCATGCACTCTGCTATCTTGCAGTTTGCCTCTTGAGGGCCACATGGTTATGGAAACAGATTCAGGAATTGCACAGGGCTTCTAAAAACAATAGGCCTGCACCGTAAACAGCTCATAAAAGTTAGATTCATGCACAACAATAAACACACATTTAATTTTCTGCTTCAAATTCCTCATCTCTCTTAATCATTGTTTAAGATCAGCATCTTCTAGGGAGTCCAGGAAACTTCTTCCCCTGCATGTGGCTTCTCCTGCCAGTGATGGAGTCTTTTTCTCTGAACTATATACTCAATTTCTTTTAGGTTTGGTTTGTCCCACGCTGAACAGGGTTCCTTTTCCTCCTAAAGCTTCTTTATTGCCCACCTTCCCATTCCTGTGTCTGTCTGCATTTTTAAACTGTTGTATGAACACTTCAACTCTTTATTACCCTTCTAGGGAAATTCCATATTTTGTCACTTGGATTCTTCTATTGCAGGTGCCCTACCTGCCATACTCACTGCCCTGTCAAAAAAGAATCATTACAATATTAACAATTTATTTTACTTCAGGCATGCAAGTGTGTGACCATGTCCTTACTAGCTTGCAGTAGCATCATTAGGGTGAGGCGAGAGAGGCACTGGTCATGGGTGCTGAAATCTAAACCATTATCCTGGTTTGACCCATCCTGGTGTCTCTGCATGCTATGGAGAGCCCTGCGCTACCCAGCCATAGGGAGTGTATCTGCTATGGGGGAGGGGGCCGAATGATGCCCCTTCACTTGAGGGGGGCTTTGCCATGGGAGAGTCAGCCCTGGCCCTCGGGGGTGGGTGGCCAAACAGGGAGCTATGAGGGGTCCCCTGCACTATTGGCTGTTTCCCAGTACTAGCAGCTCAGCTAAAGCATCAGCAGTAACAGCTTCCACTCAAATGAGAACCCAGGCAGGTAAGACCCTTCTCCCCTAGCACTCCCTGCATGCCAAAAAAACAGCGCAGAACAGAGAGGTCCATTGAACTGCTCAAGACAGACCTGCTGCTGGCAGGCAGAAACAATCGACCACCTCTTCTGGGACTGCCCATATGCCGGAGAGGTGTGGAAGGAAGTCTGTGCTCTCCTCCTGGTGGTGACAGGTTGCAGAGACCTGACCCCAACATCTCACTTTGACCAGTTCATATCCTGGTTCAGGTATGCACGTTGGAAAGCCAGGAAGCTGCTCATAAACAGACACTCAGACCCCACAGTCGAGGACTGTATTAAAATGGAACTAAGTCAGGGGTGGGCAATTATTTCAGGCAGAGGGCCGCTTACCCAGTTTTGGCAAGCTGTCGAGGGCTGCATGGGCTGAAATCAGCTGTTTGGGACAGGGAGCTGTTTGGACTCTACGCCGAAGTGTTCACCACTTTCCTGCGTGCTGTACAGTAACATAAAACAGCCGTAGCATTCTTGCTGAGTCATGGAGGGGAATGCGTTTGTTTAGAAATGCAAAGTCCAAGGCTAGGTATAAATAATTGAATAACAGAAAAGCTGGAAATTACATGATAAGAAGCATGGTTAGTGTTGAATGGTCTCTGACCCACTTTAAATTCCAGTTGTATCACACTGGAGAGAGAAATGAAAGCTGAAGGATGGTTAGAGGTGTCTTATCAAGTTCATGGTGATAAAAGAAACTAGAAATGGACAGCATGAATGACTCCTAACAGTACCAGCCGCATGAACTTATTTTCACCTGCCATTTAAAAAGAGAATTTTAAAATAGAAAATGCAATATGCAGTTCTTTGTGTGCTTACATTTTATTACAAAATTACCAAATTTAGGATGGCAGGCAGTTTGACTGCCCTTCTTTTATTTCAGGTTATGGTGTGGATTCATGGAGGAGGTTTCACGCTAGGTGGAGCTTCAGCATATGATGGGTCAGCATTGACTGCCTATGAAAATGTGGTCGTGGTAATCATCCAGTATAGGCTGGGTATCCTTGGATTCTTGAGGTAAGACACTGTCACAAGCCCTGGTCAAGCTGCTATGTTTGGATCCTACATGCAGGATGTGTGCCTTTAAGCTTCCTTGAATTTAAGCACGCTTGCAGGGAGTAGAATCTGTTTCTGGTGCTCCTTTCTGCAATTTGAGACCTCGATAGTCTAGCTCAGAGCTTTCCAAACTTTTCATGTTGGTGACACACTTTTTAGACATGCATCATTTCGCGACACAGTAATTCAGTTCCGGGGGGGGGGCCAAGGGAAGCAGACGCGAGTAAGGGAGCTCCACGGTGCCCTTCCGCAAAATTTTCTGCGTTTCGCGCGACACACCTACACACTGCTGCCGACACACTAATGTGTCGCGGCACACAGTTTGGAAAGCTCTGGTCTAGCTGCTTGAACTCTGACACTAGGGTCAGCTCTCTCAGACTCCCCCGCCCTCCCTGGAGTCTGTCTTATCATGCACTCTGCTATCTTGCAGTTTGCCTCTTGAGGGCCACATGGTTATGGAAACAGATTCAGGAATTGCACAGGGCTTCTAAAAACAATAGGCCTGCACCGTAAACAGCTCATAAAAGTTAGATTCATGCACAACAATAAACACACATTTAATTTTCTGCTTCAAATTCCTCATCTCTCTTAATCATTGTTTAAGATCAGCATCTTCTAGGGAGTCCAGGAAACTTCTTCCCCTGCATGTGGCTTCTCCTGCCAGTGATGGAGTCTTTTTCTCTGAACTATATACTCAATTTCTTTTAGGTTTGGTTTGTCCCACGCTGAACAGGGTTCCTTTTCCTCCTAAAGCTTCTTTATTGCCCACCTTCCCATTCCTGTGTCTGTCTGCATTTTTAAACTGTTGTATGAACACTTCAACTCTTTATTACCCTTCTAGGGAAATTCCATATTTTGTCACTTGGATTCTTCTATTGCAGGTGCCCTACCTGCCATACTCACTGCCCTGTCAAAAAAGAATCATTACAATATTAACAATTTATTTTACTTCAGGCATGCAAGTGTGTGACCATGTCCTTACTAGCTTGCAGTAGCATCATTAGGGTGAGGCGAGAGAGGCACTGGTCATGGGTGCTGAAATCTAAACCATTATCCTGGTTTGACCCATCCTGGTGTCTCTGCATGCTATGGAGAGCCCTGCGCTACCCAGCCATAGGGAGTGTATCTGCTATGGGGGAGGGGGCCGAATGATGCCCCTTCACTTGAGGGGGGCTTTGCCATGGGAGAGTCAGCCCTGGCCCTCGGGGGTGGGTGGCCAAACAGGGAGCTATGAGGGGTCCCCTGCACTATTGGCTGTTTCCCAGTACTAGCAGCTCAGCTAAAGCATCAGCAGTAACAGCTTCCACTCAAATGAGAACCCAGGCAGGTAAGACCCTTCTCCCCTAGCACTCCCTGCATGCCAAAAAAACAGCGCAGAACAGAGAGGTCCATTGAACTGCTCAAGACAGACCTGCTGCTGGCAGGCAGAAACAATCGACCACCTCTTCTGGGACTGCCCATATGCCGGAGAGGTGTGGAAGGAAGTCTGTGCTCTCCTCCTGGTGGTGACAGGTTGCAGAGACCTGACCCCAACATCTCACTTTGACCAGTTCATATCCTGGTTCAGGTATGCACGTTGGAAAGCCAGGAAGCTGCTCATAAACAGACACTCAGACCCCACAGTCGAGGACTGTATTAAAATGGAACTAAGTCAGGGGTGGGCAATTATTTCAGGCAGAGGGCCGCTTACCCAGTTTTGGCAAGCTGTCGAGGGCTGCATGGGTAGCCCCGCCCCTTGATAGGTGCCCCACCCCCTGGTCACCATCTTGGGACCAATGTCTTAGGACCAATGTCCCAGGGCCAGTGACAGCGGGTTGCAGGCTGGCAGGGGTCTGTGGAGCCGGGCTGGGCTGCACCAGCAGGGAGAGGGGGGAGCTGGCCTGGCTCCATAGAGCCCCTACTGGCTGAGACCCTGTGCTCCTGCTGCCCTGCTCTGGGCCCTGCTGGTGCTGGCCCTGGGACACCGGTGCAGGCCCTGTGCTCCCACTGACTCCTGTGCCCGCTCACTCCCAGTGCCTCCCAGCCCTGCAGTACAGGCAGAGGGCAGTGCAGGGAAGGAACTGGTGTGGAGCGTGGGGAAAAGCGGCCCCTCCCCTGCTCCGTGGCTGGCACTCCCTGCTACAACTGCTCACAGCCTGTGCAGGGCTGTCCTGAGCAGGCACAGGCATCCCCACGCAGGCTGCAAGCAACTGCAGTGCAGTGTGCCAGGCACAGGGCAGGGGAGGGGCTGCTTTTCCCCCACACTCAGTACCAGCTTGTAACCTGCCCCCACTGCCAGTCTGGGCACCACACCGGCTCCCGGCTCGCCCGGT